CCATACCGTAGGCTAAATCAAGTGTGAGGTCGCTTGTATATCTAGAAGAGAAGAGATAAGCTAGTTGGGTAAGATATGAAGCAATTTAATCTAACCTCTGCACATGGGCGAAGAACGCATTCGGAGAATCGAGCAGTTTGATGATCAGCTTGTCAACGCTGCTTTTCAGTGTTGTATGTAATCCAGTCAAGGCTCGTTCTGTCTCGAGGGCGGCTTGCAGCCACTTCCTGTGCTCCCGCCAGTCCTCATCGGCATTCATGAATGCTGTGACAGGTTTGAAATCGTATCTAGAGCGACTTTGAATGTACGTTCACGGATACAGCGACGCAAAGTGATTTACACGTCTTCCCATAGTGTTAATCCGGCCCTGTCAGAGTAGATCGCCCCCTTCTTCTCCATGAGGTCTTGTACTGCACGTAGCGAGTTGAGAAGAATCATGGGCTTCCTGAATATTTGGGCATAGACAACTTCCCCTGGTGGAGAAAGGAATGCCATCAGCGCACAGTATCCCTCGCGGCACGATGCAAACGCATACCATACGTATGTGCCCACTCTCTGAATGTTTCGTGTTGATCCTTGAAAGGCAGCTGATGGAGATTCCCAAAGAATGGCATAGGTGTTGGACCAGGCGGATATGCCTCGTACTTTCTGTGAGTCCATCGAGTACACAGATAGCATGTGAGGAGGGATAGTAACACGACCGCCGCTTCAGGTGTTCCGCTCGATGCGAGGATCCCAGGCATCATGGGTGTGTAAGTTGTGAGCTCATGTCATGCGTAACTCGGTTTATATATGCACTGCGCTGGTGTCCGAAACATCACAGGACCATTTGAAATTTCTCTGAGGTTAGATTCATTTGGTTCCGATGGGCCGAGCACTCGGTGTGAGAAAGTTGTTCTCGCCATGAGTGAGCCTGTGTCCCCAAGATAGAAGCACGTACATTTGCCAAGGGGGACGTCTCGAAGCAGTAACAGCTCCCATCTTGAGTTTCAGGGGTAAATCACATTGGGAAGCGACCCGAAAGCCGCATACTTATTATCACGCCTTCCTCACCTCGATCGAAGGGGGTATTTCGCGAATTGCACCAGTAAAGCTTTCACTTCGTTCTGGCCTCGTGTGAACAGAGACTATGTAGGTAGCGGAATCCAGCGGAGTTGGACTGTACATCGCCTTGGATTCAGTAATTCCTGTGACGATAAAAGCTGTCTCCTGAGATGTAAACCTCAAATATGCATAACCACTGGTGACGGGGACTCACCTGTCTCGATCACTTCGACCGTTGACGCAAGCAAAGCATTGCAGTCACAAACTTGAGGTGCCATAGATCCGCTTTAGCTGCTGAATATCAAATTGCCCTGGGCAAAAGAAAATGTGTCAAATACGGTTAAAGGGCATCAAGTTGATTCTAGTACGGGAAGATCGTCGGAAACGTCGGAAACGTCGGAAATGCCCGTCAATTGCTTCCGCAGAATGTTGGTGTGCATTTATGTGGCGCCTCATTGTTCGAGGTGACGTACTCGAACTTCAAGAACGCTTGCAGGTTGATTATGGGCACTTTGGGGAATCACCCTGATAGGACTCTGTGACATATCAAGAATTATTTCAGTTAATGAAGCACGCGGTCAGGAACGGGCGCGATAGCATAAATTGATCGCTCGCGATATACGTACCGTGCGCGATTGTTCCTTACAGGCATCGTCACGCCCGTGAACTCACGCGCTTGTCGACCGTTTTCCCGTTATTACAACAGCCTGTAAGCACACCAGGCATAATCTCTAAGATATTACAACAGCCTGTAAGCACACCAGGCATAATCTCTAAGACCAGTTCTCGAGCTTCAAGTGGTCATAGCTTCTTAGTTTTACGGAGTTTGAAATTGAGAAGCTTGACGTGGTGATTCAGCTTGGAGGAGTTTCTGTCTGCACAACACAACCGAGACTTGACGGCCTGGGTACCTTACTGCAGCACATTTCGTCCAGAGTAGTGTAGTAAGCTCTTCAACATACTGAACATGTCTAGCAGGAAAATTGAAATGTCCCCAATACGGAATATCCCCGGGACGAAGCCGTGACCACATTGCTCAATCAGGATTTTTTTATTTCGTGCATTTGACCCTTCGAGAGGGTATACGTCAGAGATCTCGGGTGTTATAGTCTTACAGTGGAGCTGGGTGAATGCGATTCAACAAATCGGACTGTGACTAGTTCCTTATCAATCGATCAGGCGAAGACTTCGACTGTGTATCATTTGACAGTATTTCAGGGGCACAGATGCGATGACTAGTCGATGCGCTTGTTATACAGTGTGGGTACAACCGATCAATGCCGCTGAGATACGACTGTCCTCATGTTTCATTCAAATGTTGCGCGCGCTCCCCGTTTCTTGCGATTGTCACGTATAGTTGCCCTGGTAGCCTAGAACGAGTGACAAACATAGTACACTGCCGATACGCAGTTGAGTCAGCTTCGTACTAGGCGATACTAGTTATCAAGCACATGCCCGACTGCACCCGACTCAGACAAGCGCTTCTCTGTGGAGGAGTAATATGATTACACCTGTGACTTCTGGGGCCATTGGCCTCCGCTACACTTCCTGGTGTCCCAAGGAATGGAAGTCCATAGATACCCACAAAGGAACGGGGTCCACAGGTATTCAACGAACCTGCTTGCTATTTGCTCAGCATATCTTCAGTGTCTTGATCAGAAGCCTCCAGCGGAGCCACTAGAAGACCAGCAGCCTTCCCAAATGCTGCGTAGATGTAGTGCCGTAGTCTTCTGGCGACTTGTGCACGCCACACGTGTGCTTGACTTCTGTCCTACCACCAACTCGGTCGCGCATCGGATTGATATATTGATCATTTGAATCCCACGTTTGTCATGAAACAAAGTGGTTCCCGGCGGTATAACGCCTCATGATACATATTGCCGCATCCGGTGCGTGCAAACGCCATGATAGATGGAATCTCCATATCGATAGGTCAAGACGGGATGTCGCGTGTGGAAGCCGCGGAAAGGGGTATTTCAGGAAACGTGGCACGAAATGTGAGGTGTACTTACTCAGCGGAAGCACCTCGCAAAGTACTCTTACTCGGCAGCGACCTTGACACCGTGTTGCAGAAAGGAGCGGGGCGATGCGGATTGAGAGCGATGGGCAGAGATGTGGTCGCTTATGTGCATTATGGTAGACTCGTACTCGACTTGGTGGAAACTTTCATGATGTGGATTGCAGTGCTAAGCGTTCGCAGGATTCAAGATTTTTAGAGTTGAGGATCCAATGACTGAACGTACCATGAGCAAATTTGCGCGACTCGCGGACACAAGTACGCGAGCGAGTTTCGCAATGTATCTGACTACATCTGTAGATGGGTCTCAGCGATGTGCCCGCTCCCCTTGCAAGTATACTCTGTCTTCTTAGAGAAATGCTGTGAGCCACCAGGAGGCGGAGGCACTTGCAACTACATGATAAAACACACCTCTAGTGCATCTACCGTGACGACGCTCCATTGCCAAGATGTATTCGGTAGCTGGCAAAGCTGAGAGTTTCATGTGGTATATATTCGGAGACACAGGGTGTTTTTGCATCATAATTGCAGCATCAAGCAGTGCAGGCACCCACTCACAGTTAAACGACTTGTGAAACTCTCTCTCTCTCTGGGAATCATTCCTGGCGCCGCCAGTCATGAAAGGTTGAATGTTGGGCAACCGTAATCGCCGTCGTCTTACAGGAGCTGCAAACCCACCCAAAATCAACACGAAGCAGTATTTTGGAGCGCTGTGTACGCGTTCATACTCACTCACAAGCTAGGAAAGACCCTCGTGGTTGACTTCCTCTTGGAGCATCTGCATGACAAGAAATGTCTCAATTAGAAATTCGCAAAAGGAGAGCGCGTCACCAGCATCCCGTAGTTCCTTAAGAGTGCTACGTACATTTAGCAATGCACCAACTAACTCTAGCATACGACCATGCGTGTGACTGAGATACACGTAGACTTGTCGGCATTTCCTGGCTGGCTTGTGCATCCTACGAATATTTCGGCTAGCCATCATCCTCACGTTTTATCGCGCGAACAAAGCATGTCCTGGATGGAGTGAAGAGTAGTATATCCTTCAGACAACTTCAAGAGTGTGACCATCGGTATGTAGTAAGTCAATTCATGACTCGAGACTGAAAGCAGTATTGACAGTGACCCTCGTAGACTTCTTGCGCATTGGCCCACTGCACATCTAGAGTGAGTCGCTTTGAGGAATCTAGATACATCATATAAAAGAGGTTGACGCTCGGGAGTCTAGGCGCGACGCGGTCACGTGCTTGTCCCAATTCTCCCTGCCGACCCCTGGGATTTACCTTATCGTTGACCCGTCCCCTCCACCCTCGACTGGGCTCGGTGCTGACCTTCTCCAGATCTCCTTCAGCTCGTCTCTCCAGAATCTTGCCTCATTTGACCCGCAGACCCTACAAAAATGATCACTTCCCACTTCCCCTGCCCCCTCACATGCCGGGTCTGCTGTCACATCGTCTAGGACCTGCGTATCGCCGCACAGCACAAGACCCACGATATTAGTAGCTAAGGAAGGACTACACCGCCTCACAAACATCTTGCCACCCGCTAGTCATCGTGTAGTCGAGGCCGTGAATTCCGCGCATAGCCGCCCACATACCACAGCGCTTCGTAGCCTCATGTTGGCATCTAAGACATCTCGCAGCCAGCTACTCAAACCTGGCCTTCGAGCATGTCTCCCAACTCCTCCGCTACGGTGAAGGTCCACCGCTATGATCGCCTGAACCTACAGAGTATGGCGAGGTCCTCGTCGGGAATGTGGGCTACATCCGCCATGGGGCATTCTACCGCCTGTTTAATGCGACGAAAGCCGCGGACGACCCCATATACAAGGAGTAAGAGGCCTTGTAAACCACGCCTTGAGCCATATCCTCGAGGTAAGTAATACTATCATTCCCGATGAGGGCACGTATTGATGATTCAAAGCACTCTGAGGCAGACGTCGCCTGTAAAGTCAGCCTAGTCTCATAATTGCCGACGATGCCGCTAATAGCAACTATAGGATGAGGAGATTTGTGATGATATAGTGGCATCCTTGCGCCGCGTCCAGCCCACTACTGAGGTGAACGCGGACAAACGTAACCCATACGCGTGTCTACGTATCACATATATATAAGACCATACATTTAGTTGGCATACTTTCATTTGAAGCTCTTCATGCGACTGCGGCCCTGGCGGCAGCAGAAAACGCGGAGTAGGCAGTGACCGACGAGCAGGTACAAAAGCACCGCGATCCCAACACACAACCGGTACCACCACCAGAAACCGATATCGCCGAGAAACTCGAGAGGACGCTTGTTGTGCGGCACGGTATGCTCCTGGGTCTTGGCGCAGACGCTCATTGCGGCAGCGTGTGCGCATTGGCGTACTCCTCAAACGGCCGCTGCCGGAGGTCGTATCACGGAACTAAAAGGACACTGAAAGGACATACGGCCACCATATGCGCACTCGCGTCCTCACCAGACAGCTCGCTGATTGCCTCTGGTTCCCTCGCTCGATCATCTTATGGAACGTAGTTGCAGGCGAGAAGACTGTCGCGCTGAACAATCACGACGGCTTCATTGACACGCTTGCGTTCTCTCCGGGTGGCAAGAAACTCGCATCCGGGTCAGTCGACTTCACAGTGCGGGGATGGGACGTGGAGAGTGGCCGGCAGCAATTTCTGCTCACGGCCCTCGTCATGGTTGTCACGTTCTCTCCCGACGGCACACAGCTCGCTTCCGGGAGTGCCGACTGCGACACGCGTGTGTGGGATGCTGAGACTGGCATGGTGATATCTGTTCTCAAGGGCCGTCAGGGTGTGGTCTACTCTGTCCGGTTCAGGTGTCAATCGCTTGTGAGCATAGCTATTCAGATCAATCGATGATGATGACGAGAAAAGCCTGAGATATGAGTCCACGACGTCTCAACGAGTCAAAGCCAGAGATCAGGATCCGAATGCGCTACTTACGGAGCTTATAAGCTGCATACCGTGCACGTTTGAGGGCAAGGCGCATATGAGACAAATTGAAAGAACAGAGAACGGGAGATACACATACTCCATATACAATCGTGCTGGCGCTTTGCAGCTGACACGATCAGGGAAGCATTGTCGGTCTGCGCTTCCGCAGTGATGTGGACGGCACTTACCCGAGCATATGAGACCGAGATGAGCCGAAAGTACGCCACTATCAGTGTAGGGGAACACGTCGCACGAGACTTCAGGGTCTGCAAATTCCAGCGTTTAGTCTACGAGCATTATCATGTTTTGATGTACTCCTTTGATTGAGCCATGAACGGGATTATCAACAACCACCAGTCTTTGAAAATCTGATCACAGTTGCGCTTCCCGTGAGATGCCTGTCAACCGGACTCGGGCACCTGATAGCTGTTTGGTTGCTATGTGGACGAATCCAATGTAACCGTAACCCGCGAGGCAATAGCGTCGGTGCCTCGATCCGACAGTCAAAAGAGTCCGCGATCATGCATGAGAAAGCCGTGGCAATATCCAGCGAAGGACGACCGGTGAGATTAGCGGGAACTTTGTGACAGGACTTTTGTGCATTTAATTCTGTGCATACGTACTGTACGTACCCAAACATTGAGGAAAATGCCAATCTTGGCAATAGCGAGAAAGAGACAAAGCTGAAAGCGAACTAATGAGATTTCGCAATGATGAGTTCTGCAGCCGCTGGAGCTTGTGGGCGGATGCTACAGATAAATTCTCTTGGATACCTAGGATAGAGTCATCATGAATACGAGTATCATCCACATACTCGAAATTAGACATACCTGGTCAAGGCGGTAACGAACGAGAATTCAGGCTCAATCTCAGCACCAAAAGTATCCCGCGCCTTCTTGATATCCATTGTCGCCAGTATGTTGACTGCCGCGAGCCAAATACTCAAATCAGCCACGTAACGGCCAGTGCAAATACTACGGCAGTTGGATGTGCATGACCGTAGAAAGTGAGCCATAGGACAGTCAATCAATGGTAATATTGCTCACCGTCTTCCGAAGCCGAACACATATTTTCTAGGGTCATACATCTCGAGTGTCTCTGCATCCATCTCCTCAAATCTCTCGGGCCGGAATGCGTCGGGATCAGGATAAATAGACGGGTCGCGCGAGATGGCCCTACAGGAAATCAATTTTGATTGTAGGTAAATAGCGATCATTCTCACCAGATATTTGATATGACGCTTGCTCCCTTCGGAAGGAAATAGCCGTTGTATATATCATCTTGGGCAAGACAATGAGGGACACCCAGCGGCACAGGGGGGTTCCAGCTATGACAATGTGAATGTCTGACCACAGGTGGTGACTCTATACTTATTTACCGCAGTACTTCCATGAGCACATGTTCAACATATGGCAGCAATTTCCTGTCGCCAAACTCGGGAAGCCGATCTGATCCAATGACGGAGGTTATCTCATTGTGCACCTTCTCTAATACGTCCGGGTGAAGGACCATTGTCAAAATGAGGGTCAAGAGTACAGCGGCACTCTATAGCACTCAGCCTTTCGCAATATCAAGGCGCAAAGTATATGTTCGCACCGTCTCGGAACCGGCTAGGGTGTATATGTGAGTAGAAAAACATAACCACGTAAGAAGTGGCCACATACCAGCATACAGCGTTGCTGAAGCGCCCTTAATATGGCTTTCCGCCCATGATGACAATTGGCCATTCTCAGACTTCGCTTCAATGAGTGCTGACGCGAAGGAAGGCCTGTACGTTCCGGATATCTACATTGAGTCTGTTCAGCAAAAGAAATACCAAGGTGCTCTAACGCTGTGCTCACAATCTTCTTGACAAGCAAACTGAACGGTACGTCCAGAAGCTGACGTACATTATGTCTTCCTTTCACTACGTCTTGATTGTAAATGGTACCAGGCATCCATGCGGGGATATATGTGACTGTTCGCAAGAGCTCAATACTCCAATTCCAGCAAGAATCAGATATGACACACGTACGGATGGGAAGGAATTCAACCAATGCGGCAACTGTGGCTCCGTGAACGATGGCGTCCGCCGCTTTCTGAGCGGTACTATTAAAGTGGTCGTCATTCGTCAAGTTGTCCATCCCGTAGGCAATGTCTAGGGTGAGGTCGCTTGAGTACCTGCGGCCGTCTGAAGTCAGCTTCGATGAACAAATAGTCACTTCGTCAGGCATGACCTTCGCACATGTGTGAAGAAGGCGTCAGGAGAGTTCAAAAGCTTCACGAGCAGCTTGTCAACACTGCTGCGTATGAGCGGATGCAGCCCAAGTAGAGCCTTGTCTGTCTCGAGAGCGGACTGCATCCATCTGCGATGCTCTCTCCAATCGCCATTCATCTTGAGAGACGTCGTCACAGGTTTGAGGTTGTAGCTTTGGAACATCGATTAGATTAAGGTGTCAATCGGCAAGGGGCCGCAACTCACACATCGTCCCACATTACAAATGTTGGCCGATCAGAATATATAGTGCCCTTCTTAACCATTAGATCCTGCGTTGCACGCAGAGAGTTGAGGAAAACGAAAGTCTTGTTGAAGAGGTGAACATAGACAATCTCGCCTACAGTCGGAGAGTTGAAAGACATAGGAGATAGGCCAGCAGGATGTGAATACATACCATATGTGTGTGCCCATTTCGTAAATGTCTCCGGTTGATTCTCGATAGGCATTTGATGGAAGTTTCCTATGAATGGGATGGGCGTTGGACCAGGTGGATACTGCTTCTGCTTCCGTTGGCTCCACCGAATACAAAAAAAGCATGAGAGGAGAGAGAGGATCAAAACCATCACGTTAGGAGTTCTCGTGAATTCTAGGACACTCAAAGCCATGATAGCTGATCCCAGAGCTTTCCAAAGATACCGTCGGTAGGTGACCGGTCATGATTGGGCTTATATATTTCAATATATACCGTGTTCGCACACGACATAAAAACACGACACTTCGCCGCCCGTTGTCTGCTCAAGATAGACGTGATCTCTCATGAAGTCCGCAGCCACTGGTGGAGGGCGCTTCCAAGTACGAGAATGATCATCAGATGGAGACGTTCGCTCACAGCAAAGCTGTCTCCAAGAGTACGCACCTTGTCTTTGGCAGAACTCTAACTACGAAAGCCTTTCCTGTGAGATCCGACGGGCAGGCCGAATTGAAGCATCGAAGTCCGGCCTCTCCAACATACAGCACTAGGTTCTGCGAAGTCGGTGTGCCGTAACGCAAATCAACTCTATGCACCACGCGACGGGGCAACAGAGTCGCCTTGAAAAATGGACGTGACTGCGCTGCCGCCATGTCTTGCCGCAGCTTCTGTCCCGCCTTTGTCGCAGATTACAAGCTGCCTCGGGTTGCGCTGAGTGCATCATTCTCAGGACTTCCAGAAGTTGGCTTCAGACTAGACGCTTAGAATATCTGTTTATGTTTTTGGACGCATAATTGTTCTATACATCTCAAAGAAACGCACGGGATTGTCAATTCGATGGAGATGCTCAGGGGAGCTCCATGACTAGAAGAAAGAACTCAGGGTCATGCAAATAGTGGGGCTATTTTATTCATCTTTATATACACATATAGTTAGTCGATTCTTTCAGTCACAATGGTTATCACTTAACTGTTGTGTAGGATCTCGTCCAGGTGCGCACGCGCGCATATCGAGGGATATGATGGAAGGGGATAAGTTCAGCGCTTATGTATGACTCGGCAAATGCCGGGCTGATCCATCGTTCACGGACGAAGTCCGGAGGTTTGGAGGAAGCAGACTGCTCTTGGCAGGAGACAAGATTATTCTGCATGCCTCTCGACATCGGCGGGTGGGAATTGCGAGTTGGCGCTCAGACACCAGGTTCAAAACAGCATGATGTGCGGTACAAACAAACGTCGTCTTGCTAAAAGGTATCAATCCGGCCACCTGGTCGGAGATAAGTGCTTATGGATGGGATTCAGCCAGATCAAACTGCGCTGCGCGCTCCGCTGCGAGGGAGGAACGCGGATGTGTCCTGAATGCAAGCTCCCGGGGGAAACTGGAAATACTAGTTACACTCAAGCTTGTGAAGTTCTTCAGGGGACATCGTACCTTGTGCTGCCAGTGATGAAGGACACAATAGGCTCTCACCAATTATTTAGTGAAATGGCAGACCCGTTGAGGTATGAAATAATCTCGATATACATCATTCTGAACGAGCCAATGGGAGACAACTGGAATCAGGTTTTGGTCAGCCAATTAGTATTTCGAGGACACGAGTTCAGGTAATTGCCTAGCGCCGGGTTTGGACATCCCAGAATCCTATAGAGCGCTCAGTCGGCGCACATTTTAGTACAGCACCCAAAGCCTCCTACCGAGTTCTTGCGCACGGTGACGAAAGGGAGCCCAATCATTTGGCGGGTCGCACGTCTGATACGGGAGGCAAGGCGTTTGAAACTAATCCCAGGAATACAGCCTGGAATGTATCGAGCTATTGGGAATTAAGTAGCTAGAGACATTTATATTTGGATATAAGAACTCACGGAAAGGGAAAAAGTCGAGGGAAGATGCAACGAAGCTTCCTGACTGTAAATAGCCTCCATTGCTGCTTCCGCTAGAGAAGTGAACTTGTCTTCCGTGGAACACAAACGATTAATCTAGAGAGTATTCAAGGTGAGATTGCTTGCGTATAAAAAGATAGGACTCAGCTAGACAGTCTCTGGGAGGTGGAATGTACCTCTTGATGAGACTCAGAATCCGGAGAAGTCGCCAGTCCAGCGATGAGCTTGTCGACACTGCTCCTCTGAAGAGAAAGGTAGCTAAGCAGAACAAGGCGAGTTTTCAGCGCACTCTATATCCACCGGCTTTGAAGGGCACCAGACCGTTGCGTCTTACTGTGATTGGCTGCTCTACGTACACGAGTTATTGAACAGCTATCGCTCCACTCACACACGGAACATTACAGGAAATAAACATCATCACGTTGACGGGGTCTGTTGACATCGGACACATAGCACAAGTTGGGTACGCATAACCGGGCACAGGGGACGGCTCGAGTCATCGGATCCGCATTATCTGCGCATGACTCGTAGGTATCTGGCGGAGCGGCAGAGCTGGCAGAGGCCAAAGGTTATATTAAAAAGGTCTGATACATTGGGGTCGACACGGACAGCTGGCTACTCGCGTTCATCATTATGTAAATTAGCGTGCATCTTCCTGACCTATGAGCTCGACAACGGTCTGGTTTCGCGGGCGAATGCTGCAAACAAACTCTTGCGGACATCTGAGAAGATATCCAGTTAGTGTAGGCCATATATTGAGGTATCGAAGATGTACCTGGTCATGCCAGTTATAAAAGATACTGTAGGCTCTATGTTCTTTCCATCACGGGCCTTGTGGATGTCCAGCGTGGCTAGGATGGTCGCTGCCGCCAGCCAAAAGCTCATCTCCGCTAGGTGACGGCCGGGACAGATGCTACGAACAGGAACATATTCACTATGTAAGCGGATATGGTGTTCAGCTGCAAGCACATAGCGACTCACCGCCTGCCGAACCCAAATACATACATTTTTGGATGCGATGCCTTGACTTTCTCGGCGTCCATTTCCTCAAATCTCTCAGGTCGGAACGCATCCGGATCAGGGTATATAGACGGATCGCGTGAGATAGCCCTGGCAGTACATGAGATAAGAGCAGGAGTGGTTCAAGATGAGTCTCACCAAATGTTAGAAATCACAGTCGACCCCTTCGGAAGGAAGTAGCCTTTATAATTGTCGTCTTGTGTTAGAGAGTGAGGAACACCTGAAAGGGAATGTCAAGACTTATGCTGCTGTAAATGCAAGCCAACGTACCTAAGTGTGTGGGAGGGCCCCAGCTGTTTTGGGGTTAGTATCGAGTTGCATCAGGTAGTGTATTGTCGCACCGATACACTTCTAACAGCACGCATTCAAGGTAGCGCAACTTCTTCCTGTCACGGAACTCGGGAAGTCTCTCGATACCGACGACAGCATCGATTTCCTGCTGTACTTTCTGCAATATTTCAGGGTAGAGCGTCATAGCCAAAACGAAGGTCAAGAGTACGACTGCACTCTGCGCAGCGCCATAGTCAGAACTATCAACATTCCTTAGACTCATACATGTTATGCCTACTGTCTCGGCACCGGCTATGCGGTGACATGTCAGGTACGCTCCCAAACAAACACGAAGTGCACCTACCGACGTATAAAGTGGCAGCAGCGCCCTTGATGTTATACGCGACTCGTGGCAGAAGTTGTCCATTATCAGATTTTGCTTCAATCAACGCTGAAGCGAACGAAGGCTTGTACACTCCAGATGTCTGTGTGTCAAATGTCAGACGAAGCCAAGGCAAGTCGCCGAATGACGCTCACAATATTCTTGAGCAGCAGATCAAACAGTATGTTGGAACTTGAGATTGTGGCGAGCGCATGCCACCGTATTTGGCCATGCTTGTAGTACCTTGCAGACTTTGCGCGAGCCGTCCTGTACGTTCCTTACGCGTTTGACAGAGCTCAGACAAACGCGATATATCTTCGTTGATCGTTCTCGCTTCGGGTCTCGGACGAACTTTAACACGGTACATCCAGCATCTGACGTATCACGTGTCTTGCCTTTGCCGCATCTCGGTTGTATGCTGCCCCGGGCATCCATGCAAGGATATACTTCACTGCGTGCACGGAATATTGTGAGCCCAGCCCCAATAGTGTGTCGGATGTACGTACAGATCGGGAAGGAGTCTACAAGTGACGCGACTATGGAATCAGAGTGGGCGATGGCATGAACCGCATCTTCAGCCGTCCTGCTGTAGGCCTCATCTGCCGTTAGCTCGTCCATACCGTAAGCTAAATCAAGTGTGAGGTCGCTTGTATATCTAGAAGAGAAGAGATAAGCTAGTTGGGTAAGATATGAAGCAATTTAATCTAACCTCTGCACATGGGCGAAGAACGCATTCGGAGAATCGAGCAGTTTGATGATCAGCTTGTCAACGCTGCTTTTCAGTGTTGTATGTAATCCAGTCAAGGCTCGTTCTGTCTCGAGGGCGGCTTGCAGCCACTTCCTGTGCTCCCGCCAGTCCTCATCGGCATTCATGAATGCTGTGACAGGTTTGAAATCGTATCTAGAGCGACTTTGAATGTACGTTCACGGATACAGCGACGCAAAGTGATTTACACGTCTTCCCATAGTGTTAATCCGGCCCTGTCAGAGTAGATCGCCCCCTTCTTCTCCATGAGGTCTTGTACTGCACGTAGCGAGTTGAGAAGAATCATGGG